ATTATCACCTAATGGAAACCCTAAGTAATTCAAAGGCCACCCCGAAACTTCACACCCCAGCACTTTAGCACTCTCCCTGATCTCTCCCTCCTCCAAATTCACCCCCACTACACAACTTTTCCCAAGGTTAATCTTCAAGTTAGACATTTGCTCAAACAGTTGTATCACCAACTTCAAGTTTYTGATAAAGCTCACATTACCGCCTTCACAAAACAGAATCGTGCCATCAGCAAACTGTAGGTGAGTGAGGGGGGTTTCCACCCTCCCAACTCTCCAGCCTCTAATGAGCCCCCTATTGCTTGTACTTTCACGAGAAGTATTGCCTTCATCCACATCTAGTTGTGTAAAAAAGAGGAATATTAAATTAATAATCAATCAAAACAAATATAGCATGAACTAAATCAAATCAACTAAAATAGCTAACTGCTAAAACCTAAATGCTAACAAATAGATTAACAAAGCTAACTACTAACAGTGAACAATTAATAAATCAATTAACATGAATGTTGGATAATGTATTAACATGAAAGAATGAAAATGGGGCTGCCGGTGCCCCTGTTTTCAGGCTAAAAAGAAAAATCGGATACAAAAAAAAAAAAAAAACTGAAAAAAAACAATGGGGTCAAGCCCCTGTTTTGGAAATAAAACAGACTTACAAAGCTGATGTTGATGAATGAAAAAAAAGAATGGGGCAGAACCCCTGTTTTAGTGTAAAAAACAGTGGAAAAAAAGAAATCTTAGGGAAAAAGTCAAAAAAACATTGGAAAAACTGATGACAGTTCAAATTGGGAAATAAAAAAACGAAAGAAAAGAAATAATGAAACCAACGGAGCCCCTGTTTTAGATAATGGGGCGGAGCTCTGTTTTAGTATAAAAGAAAGTAAAAAAAACAGTTGAAAAACAGAGGAGGAGAGGAAGAAGATGGGGGGTGGAGCCCTTGTTCTACGGTTAAAAACAATGGAAGAAAGAAAGAAGATAGGGGGTGGAGCCCTTGTTCTACAGTTAAAAGCAATGGAAGAAAGAAAGGAAGAAAGAACGAAAGGAAGGAAGAGGAAGATGGGGAGCAGAGCCCCTGTTCTGTGGTTGAAAACAGTGGAAGAAAGAAAGAAAGAAAGAAGAAGGGGGGGGGGGGGGAGCCCCTGTGAATGGTTAAGAAAGAAAGAAAGAAGACCATACGTGATAATACCCATACCTTGTGCTGCTGACTGCAAGTGCAAGCTTGTTCCCTGATGATCGAAGAAGAAGAATGGCCTGCTTGAATCACCTGATGATCCAAGAAGAAGAAGAATGGAGTCTGGATTGCCGTTTTGGAGTTCCTAAGCTTGTTCCAGTTTTGGCTTGTTCGATCTTGCTTGCGTAGCAAGGTTTTGCTAAGTCCGAATTCTGAGGTCTCAATATGGCATTGAGCATGTTGTTTTTTTTCTTTGGCATACAATATGCAATAGTTGAATGCATAAAAAGGAAGCATACTAATAATATACCATAATAACCATATGTAAACTTAAAAACAAATAAAAGAAGTTTAACTTCATGAATAGGCGCTCGCTGGGCGTTTGGGCTCAGGCGCATGACTTAGGCGTAGAGGTGAGTGCCCTTGGCAAAGTGTGGCCGCCTTGGCACCTTGACCAATGCGGGGTTGCCTAGGCTGAAATGCGCCTCGCCTTTGTGCCTAGGTGTGCCTCAGGCACACCTTTTAAAACACTGCCTACGCCATACAATATTTACCAAAGTGGCCATGCAACACCTTGGGATGTGAACCATTAGAGAAAATTGGCCTAAGGTCCATCACTAATATGATTAGTTAAGTGATTAAGTTGTCCTGTGAGTTGGGTTGAAAATGGACATGGATTTGGGTATGAAGTACTTATCTTCTTAAGAAGATAATGCTTATCAATTAAAGATAAAGCCATGATCCAAATTTGATTTGGATCAGCTCCTAATTAGATTAGGAGAGTGCTCTATATAAGGGACTAAGAGGGGAGGGGCGAACCAACCATTCTCTCCACTCTCTTGCTCTCTTCTCTTCTCTCTTGTCTCCTAGAAACCCTAGTTCGACCGAGCCTTGGTAAGGACTGATTTCTATCAGTTCTCCACTGTGTTTTTGCAAGAAAAACATCAGGGAATATCAGGTTCACAAACTCAATTTGATCCAAGCAAGTTGGAGACCAGTTTTGTTGAAACGTTGTTGCTGAACCAACTTCACATACACACTGCCATTTTCAGTTGGAGGCTGATTTTGGGACTGATATTGGGCATGAACTACCACTCTGGGAGTTGCGCATTGTGGTCTCCGTATCAAGTATGATTAGTTTTAATTTGGTCCAGTTCATTGCAAATTTGGGAAATCAGTTCCCGGGTTGGGTTAGAAAAGTTTTGAAAATTCGGGCAGCCACCAAACCTGGCTTGACCATGTCAAACCTGATTTCTAATCCTTCCAACAACAAGTTGTGGACAAAAGTAATCATCAATATTCATGGGCTTGCGGCTGATGGCTGGGACTCTTGGATTTTGGCTAGGGCTACTAGTCCTTCTCCATGGAAAGCCGCCCGTGCAATTTTACCATCCTTCTTGTCATTTGTCAGGTATAATCTTTGCTCCGAAAGTCTTGTCAAATTTTGGGAACATGTTTGGCTGGGTAATTCTCCTTCGAAGGAGCAATTCCCCTCTCTTTTTTCCATTTCCAGTCATAGGGATGAGCCCATTTCTTCTTTCCTTGTTCCTTCTATTTCAATTGTGGGTTTCATTGGGATTTGAGGTTTAGGAGAGGACTATGTGAGTTGGAAGTAAGTGTTGCCTTGTCACTTGTCCAAAAGTTAGAAGGGGCTTTCTTGGATCCCACCAAAAGGGAATGGCGAATATGGACTCTTTCCCCTTTTCCTATTAAGGAGGTTTGGAGCAAGCCTATCCCTCCTCGAGTTAGAGCATTCTGCTGGGAAGCCTTTCTAGAGAGAATTAGCACCCATGATTTACTTCAAGGAAAAAGACCCAATTGGCGCTTATCCCCTAAGTAGTGTTCTTAGGCTGAAGGTGAGTTTTGCTACCACTTATTAATTTCCTGCCCTTTTATTTCTTCAATTTGAATGGTTTCTCTCTTTTTTTGGATGCAGGTGGAGCCTCCTGCCAAACATACAAAGCTTGTTTGCCTCCTCTACCTTTGTTAGTTGGCCGAAGAAGAGGGGAAGATCATTATGGAGATGCACAAGGGTGGTTGTGTATTGGACAGCTTGGAAGAAAGGAATAAGAGGATTTTTCTTGATAAGGAAAGTAGAGATGCTCTAATTGACGTCATTACAATTAGGGTGATCCATTGGTTGAAGTCTTTGGATCTCTTTGAGGGGTCCATGCAGATGATTTGGTGAGAAATTGGAAGTAAGTTGCTGACTCCGCTCCTCTCAAGGTTGGCTTAAGTTCAAGTTGGGGGAGTAGTGAAGGAAGAATCAGAGCCATTTACTCGGGTCCTTACGGCGTAGGGGGAGTTTTTAGAAATGAGGAAGGAAGAATCATAGCCATTTACTCGGGTCCAATTGGTCTGGGAGACTCTCTAAGGGCTGAAATAATGGCTGTGTTGGAAGGCCTCCAAAGGGCTAAAGAGCTGCACATTCATAAGCTTCTAATTGAGGGGACTCAAAGTTAGTTATTGAGTGGTTGCAAAAGGAAGAGGAGGCTGGGCGGTCGAGCTCTATTAATGAGAGGAGGAGTAAGTGGCTTTCTCAAGGAATGGAAATTAATGTACAATGGTTGAAAAGGAATGCTATAGCTCCTTTGCTGACACTTTAGCTAAACAGGGGGTGAGAAGGGATCGTTTGTTTTGGGTTGTTTTGTAATTCTATAATCATGTTTCCTGGGTGAGGGAGAGTTAAGAAAGTTGATATCTCCCTCTATCCTCGTTGTACATCTTTCTTTATTCATAATGAATCAGTTTCTATTATTCATCCAAAAAAAAAAAAAAAAACTTCCCAACAAAAAGCTCCAAATGTGGTAGACTTGCGCAATACCTCCTTGATAGGAAAAGGTTGCAGAGAGTTAAAGGAGGGTTGGGTTAGGGCCTTGAAAAAAGAAGCAGAGGAAAAGGATTCATAAGGAGAGAGGAATCCAAATCCTTCCATCAGACTTAGAGGGATCAAAACTTCTTCAAGGGTTTGGATCACTGTAACTATAGTGTGTAGTTCAGAATCCCTTATACCCCTTCTAAACTCAAGATTCCAGTCAAAACCATTTCTTGTGTTTGAAGGAACAAGAAATTTGGAGATTGGCTCATTTTTAAAACATGACAGTGCAAACAGAGAAGGATATCGGTCCTTCAGAGTAGAAATTCCACACCAAACTTGTTCCTAAAATGTAGTAAGGTTCCTAGGATTAAGATCATACCTGAGAAGGGGAAGGAATAAAGGAAGAACCACATGGATGGCTTTCCAAGGAGAAGCTTGGGTTGCCCTAGCCAATGATCCAACATCCCATCCATTATCCAAAAGTCCATATACACTCCACCACCACCTTTGTCCATAGCTTGTCCCTTTCTTTAGGCATCCTCCACAGCCACTCTCTCACCTTTACTTTAGGAGGGCATGTCCTGAATTAGCTGAGAAACCTTTTGGCTGGTTGTGTATTCCACACAACTCAAATCTAGATCTGCTCTTCCTAGAGTGTGGGGCTCTTTAAACTCATGCTGAACAATTTGAACCCAGATTTCCTACCCACTCTCTACCCGCCGTGAATTGCAGCCACACATCTCTCAATTCATAATAGAGATGTGTGGCTGCAATTCACGACAGGTAGAGAGTGGGTAGGAAATCCCATTTGGAACAATTTGGCCACATCATGTAGGAGGGAAAATGCTGGGTTGGCTTGGTTTTTGTACCAATTGGGATCAATCCATCCACCAACCACCTATATTCATTAACAATCCACATTTCTGACATGTTTATAGATTGATTAGGTTCTTTTTCTGGTAGCTGTCAATTTTCTAATGTATATTCTTTTTTTTTCCTTTCATTCTACAGCCGCAAATTGAAAGTGGCGATAAAAGTAAGTTGACTTTCTAACCAAGTTTTATATTATTGTTTACATCTCTCTTTCTCTCTGTATGTGTGTTGTGCAAATTTGTCACGATTTTGTCTTTTGTTGTCACAGTAATAATGCCTCCCTCGGCTCTTGATCGTCTTGGTGAGTTGCTTTAATTGTGTAATCCCTGTTAATATTTTGTCATTCTTCTTGCCACTCTAGCTTACGAATTTTTAATTGTTCATAATTCGAGATTCAGATTTGATAGTAAAACTTTACTTTTCAGCTTCTCTTCACATTGACTATCCAATGTTGTTTGAGCTACGCAATTCTGCCACTGAGCGAGTTTCACACTGTGGTGTTTTGGAGTTCATTGCTGAAGAAGGCATGATCTACATGCCATATTGGGTAAGCATTCGATATTGTGCATTTGTGCGTGTGCACGTGTTTTGTATTTGTTGGAAACTGTTTTTTGATAAATTCATTTGTGAAAGCGCAACTCTGCACATTTGCCCCCAACTTTCTTACTTATTCCTCTCTAGATGATGGAAAATATGCTTTTACAAGAGGGAGATACTGTGCGTGTTAAAAATGTGACTCTTCCAAAAGGCACATACGTGAAACTGCAGCCTCACACAATGGATTTCTTAGATATTTCCAATCCCAAAGCCATGTGAGTGCACAATTTTCTTTTCAAACTTTTGTCATTTTATGGTTCTTTTAATGAGGGGCAATATTTCTTTGAGATCCCTCAAGAATGGGTATCCTGACTGCCATCCCATGATCTTTTTCCCCCTTCCCTGATTGGTAAGAATGATTATATTAACAAAAGGGCAAAGATTGGTACAAAGTGGATGAATAAAAAATCCACTTTCTTTTTATAACAAAGGGAGGTGACAAGCTATTACCAACTATGAAGGAAAGAATATTCAAAAAATATAACCAGAAAAAAAGAAAGAACAATACATCCATCTAAATTAAGATGAAACTTCTTTCCAAGAAATTCTCATCATATAAGTCACTCATCTCAAAGACCCAACCTCCTTACCTTCCTCTACCTTTCACTCAAAACTATGGTGCCTTTTGGCAAGTCTTTTTTGAAAGATCTTCCAGCAGAACTGACAGCCAAAAGACGATGTGAGCTTTTGCATTAAGATCTTAGCAGCCTGAAGACCGTTTGGTTAAGGCACATCTTCCCATTCGTCTTTCCACACGAAGACGTGATGAAAAAAAGTCGAAAACTCCATTTGGAGCTTCCCGAAAATAGCCCAAAATGGGCTTTGTGTGTCTTTTTGGGGAGGCATCTTTTGGCGGCTAGACCTTTTCCTAACCAAACGGGAAAAGACTAAAACGCGGGCTGTCGGGCTTCTAAACAGCCGACAGCCTGTGTGAAAAGATGCACCAAATGGGGTCTACAATTCTGTTGCCTCCCACCTTTTCTCTTTCTTCTACATCTTTTTTACATCAAATGTATCACCCCCTCCCCCAGGTGAACCTGTGGATTACTGTCATACAAGATTCTGATGCTCAGGATTCTAATTTGGATTAGCTGTATGCGTTGGCTGTTCATCTGGCTAGACCTTTTCCTAACCAAATGAGAAAAGACCAAAGCGCGGGCAGTTGGGCTTCTAAACAGCCGAAAGCCTGCATAAAAAGATGCACCAAATGGGACCTACAATTCTGTTGCCTCCCACCTTTTCTCTTTCTTCTACATCTTTTTTACATTATATGTATCGCCCCCTCCCCCAGGTGAAGCTATGTGGGGTTACTGCTATACAAGATTCTGATGCTCAGGATTCTAATTTGGATTAGCTGAACACAATGGCTGTTCATCTGGCTGTGGAGCAAAGATAATATTCCGTGCCAGTAATAAATTCGTGGGCCCCACTGTAAGAGATGCAGGTTCCATGTATTTTATTACTGGTGTGGAAAATTATCATTGGTTCTACAGCCTGCTGAACAGACATCGCATTCAGCTAATCCTTCCCAAACACCCTTTAATACTTGCTGAAAAATAGAAAGGATTAGCTGAATGCGATGGCTGTTCAGCGGGCTGTGGAACCAATGATAACTTTCCACGCCAGTAATAAAATCATGGAATCTGCACATCCCAAAGTGGGGTCCATGAATTTATTACTGGCATGGAATATTATCATTGGTTCCACAACCAGCTGAACAGCCATCATGTTCAGCTAATCTGAATTAGTTATTGTGCCTTGAAGACCTGTGGTTTGATTGGAATTCATATATACATTTGTAAATAAAATGGGGAGACTTAAGACAGTTTTTTTTTTTGTTCAAGGCAACTTTCTGAACAATTTATTTTGACTGTTAACTTACTTTTCCTTTCTGAACAGTTTGCTTTGGAAAATTGCCACTGTGATTTTTCCTGAAATGTTGCAATGGTTATGGATTACCTCACTTCTGTTCTCTTGCATGTAGCTTGGAGACAACATTAAGGAACTTCTCTTGCTTAACCACTGGGGATAGTATAATGGTAGCTTATAACAATAAGAAGTACTACATAGATATTGTAGTAACAAAGCCTTCCAATGCAATAAGCATTATTGAGACAGACTGTGAGGTAGACTTTGCACCTCCCCTTGATTATAAGGAACCTGAGAGACCTGCCGCTTCTGTTCCTGCAAGCAAGGCACCAGCTCAAGGTTAGCATTTTCATATACTCTGCCATTTCCATTTTATGTTCAGTCACTTCAGTGTCTCTGTTTCAGGATCATCATGGTTTCACATCTATTCATCTACTTTCAAACCTTAGCAGTCGTTATTTTCAATGCTTTAGGACAAATATGACATGCTTAATTGGTTCTTGTTATTTATTTGCCAAATCCTGGTCTGCAATAGAAATAAATTGTGTTTTGAATTCATTTTCACTTCTCTTTCTTTTTGTTCTACTTCTTTCAACACTATAAAAATGAAAATAGAAATAATACTCAGATCCCCCTCCCAAAAAAAGGATCAGATTATCATGAAAATGTTGACGTGGTTGGTAATTGTTTTCTTTTAATTGGTAATAGATCAGAAAGAAAATATACTCAATATGACATGCAATGTACAATAGAAAAATTAACTCAAGGGGGGAAACTGAGCAAAGTTGTCTATACCCAATCCCCGCCCCCTAACTACTGGAAAGGTTCAAAATGGGAAATTTGCTACTCAGGAGCCAAGGCAGTGGGATTTGTTGAATGATGGATGACTCAATTTGTATATTACTACTCATTCCTTTTGTCATAGCCAAGGGTTTAGAGGTAGATAGGCAGCAGCAATCAGAAGAAATAGAGGCTTCTCTCGTGTGTGTGTGGGTGTGTGGGGGGGAGATCTGTTGGATGTTTCTTTTGTCATAACCAACTAATTTGTTTTTGCAGTTCAAGAGGCTGCTGCTGAGGCAGAACCAAAATTGAACCCATTTTCTGGTGTTGGAAGACGCTTGGATGGGAAACCATTGAAGTGTCAACCCCCATCGGTTTCTACCTCTGGATCCAAAGACAAGCAACCAGTGGCTACAAGTGGTGGTGGGCAAAGTTCAGCAGGGTCCACTTCACAAAGCACTTCTCGTCAGACTCAGGGAAAGCTTGTATTTGGTTCAAACCACACGAATAAAGATGCACAAAAGGTAGGTCTGGTTCTCTTCAGGTTTACTTTGAAATTAGGGTTTCGGTTTATTGTTTCCCCTTTTTACGGACGGGGAGTCCATTTTAAAGATTTTGGCAGAAAACATGGCTCATGATAGAGCAGAGTTTGTGTAACCGACCCCAGACTATGTTTTAACTGTTTATTATTTGTTTTATTTAATGTGCAGCAACCTCTCAAGCAAGAGCAGCCCCAGAAGAAAGAAGAGCCAAAGTTCCAGGCTTTTACAGGGAAAAAGTACTCATTAAGGGGATGAATACGAAATACTGGCAGCTGTGCATTAGGAGCTGTGCATTAGGAGCACTCCTCACGCCACCATTCTCACAGCACATCGCAGCTGTGCATTAGGAGCATCTCCACATGAATGACAAAATACATGTGCAGAAGATGTTCCCTATGCACAGGGCTGAAAATTGGTATGAAGAGTGCTTCTATGAGGAGCAAATCTAGGTCGTGTTTAGTTTAATTTTCATTCATTCTCATTTTTATTTAAGATGAAATTCTAAAATTGACAAAAATAGGTAAAAATAGGGAGAATGAGAAAATATTGTTATGAACCAAACACTTTTTTTCCTAAAAATGAATTCTTTTTAGGTTGACAAGTGTCCTGTGTAAAAATTCTTTTGTAAAAGTGTTTTTATAAAAATACTTTTGTAAAAGTGTTTTCATAAAAATATTTTGATAAAAGTACTTTCATAAAAGTGTTTTTATAAAAGTATATTCGTAAAAGTGATTTTACAAAAATGTTCTCATAAAAGTACTTTCATAAAGTGTTTTTGTAAAAGTGCTTTTATAATAGCATTTTTATTAAAATGCTTTCATGTAAAAGTATTTTTTTAAAAGTGCTTACGTAAAAGTACTTCCACGATAGTCCTCTAGTAAACATCTATAACAGCAGTTTTGTAGGCATATTTTCCTCAAAGAATGAAAATGAGCAAGATGAGGCATGGTTATTTTTCATACTACAAACTACTCAATTTTTATGCTATGGGCTGGTTTTTCATTCTAAAAAGAATGACTCATGGTAAGAATTTTGTAACTAAACACTCTAATGCTATTCATTCTTATTCATTCATGCACAAAATCAACAAGAATTAAAAGAATGAGACTCAGGACAGTGAACCAAACATGGCCTTTACTCTCTTCGAGAATACAACTTTAAATTAATAATTGTTCTTAGGAATTTGATAATTTCGTGGCATGCATGGAAGTAATAATCTTATGTCTCATATTATGGGGCACCATTCTCTTTGCAGGTCAAATGTGTACCCTCCCTCAATTTATTATCCTATGCATTGTGACAAAGAAAACAAATAACCAAGACAGTGGATAAATACATGGTAGAAATTCAATGAACAAGACGACAGATATTTTCTCAAACATAACTGAGATTGAATTGGGGATGATCTCAAACATAACCGAGATTGAATCCATAGTAGAAATTTAAGACATTTACACCGTTTAACGCAAGGCTAGCTTTAACACACATAGAGAGGTGTTTTGGGGATGATCTTCCCTTTCTCATGCATGAAGGGTGGAGACTGGAGAGTAGAAAAAACATAAACAGAGTTAATAAGCATCTATTCTTCTCTTCTGAACTTTCCATTCGAATTGGTGAAACTGATGTAAATGAAGGGATCCGAAAACTAACAGAATTTTTTAATCTGAAAGAAAATCCCACAAATCAAAGAAGAATTCAGTGGAAAACGGTAATAGAATGAAACCCATTAATAGAAAACCTTAATGTAACATAGAAAATAAAGCAAATCCACCTGAAGGAAGTTGGTAACTTGATATGAGCTACCCTGCTTTTTTGATCCTCCATTAGCTTTCAGTTTTGGTATCTGCCCTGTTACTTGTCTCAAGAAGACTGAATTATCTTTTTCTCAGGCCAAAGTCTGCCCTGTCTGGAACTGCCTTCACTTAATTTCATCTAAATGGAGGTTTTGGATTGTAGGTTTCTTTAATTCAAATATAACCAAATTCTGACAAAAAAAAAAGTATGTCCAAATAGAGCGGATTTGATAAGAAACATCAATTGAACAAATATCAGACTAGCTGGAAAGAACAGTTGTTCCATCAACATCCTTTTCAAATGCCAATCCAAGTAGCTACTAGCCAGAAGGAACACCGATTCGAACCGGTTTTGCTTTGTTAAAAATGAACAAAATACTTGTTGCTTTCAGTTTGGTCTGGTTTTTGATCAATTTGGTGGAAAGATTTGCCACGCGTCATCCCATGGATGATGCTGAAGCCAACTGTTATATCCAAAACACGTGTTAACCCGTCAATGGCGCTAAGTGAGAGCTCATCACGAGCCCATATTTTGTGGATAAGCCCTTTGTCAGGAGAGCACTTCCCATTAATTTAGCAGCAAGGACTCCAGTGAGTTCAGCGGCCGGTCCGTTATCCATATGGCGTTGGCTGTTACTTCTTCTGCTCTATCGAAGCTTCCTCCAGCTCCCAGGTTAGAACACTTCCCATCTTCCAAATTTGTTGATTTATGAGGTCGATCGTTAGAACTCAAAAAGGAGAAAACCCAGATAACTAATTCCTCTTTTTATACTTCGAACTTCTACCACTATATCAATAGAACCTGACGCAACCCAGAAGTTTTGACAAGAAGAATCATATCTAGAGCGACGGTGGAAATCTGAAAATTAGAGAGGAAATGGGTTTCAAAGTTAAGTTGAGAAAGAAATTAGAGCTCGGAAGCCAGAGTTTCCGGCTTTGGTTCGGAGCCATTTTAGCATTCGCTGAAAACAACTGAAATTTAAAAACTACTATCTCTACATTTCTTGAATTGGTTTCATTAACATTCCAGTTAATTGATTTGTTGTTCGTTGTGATCTATTGTGTAATCGCCATTGTTGGGAAAGCAGAGAGGTAGCTCAAAAATGTTTGCCAGGTGGCATCCCAACAGCCGTATCACTAAGAAGTCGTGTAAGCGCAACTAAAGGGGTCTCCAGTGTTTGTGAACCTCTTCCCCCAGATAGGCCATTGTGGTTCCCTGGTAGTTCTCCTCCTGAATGGCTTGATGGAAGGTAATCAATCTTCACTACTTTTATTTTTGTGTTTTCCTACGTATTGCTACAAATTTGTTTCTTGCTCATTTTATAGAATCACTGCAGACTTCATATCCAGTGTATGTTTATTCTGGGAGATTTCTTTTTTTTTTCCTCCCTGGTGAAAATATTTTGAGCTCAGAATTGAATGATCTAATTCTATTTTCTCCCATAATTTTGCAGTCTCCCTGGAGATTTTGGCTTTGACCCTCTTGGATTAGGTGAGTATTAATTTCAAGTTATTTACTCTAAGAATTTTTTTTTTGTAATGACAAGTAGAAATATCCTGCACTTCTGCAAATCTCAAATTACTAAGAAGAATAAGAAGTAAAAAATAACCATGGTTGTTGCATTTGGGTCATTAGATAAAATTAAGGCAAAATTCGATAATGGGGGATTTCAAAATAGTTTGTTTTCTTGTTTGCCTCCATTGCATTAGAAGGCATAAGCTAATTAAAAATTGGCATATTTTAGAAGGATGAATATGACTGATTTGAGCTGAATTGAAATCTTTTGGGAGATTGAAAATTTCAAATTTAGGCCTAGTTTGTTTGCAGTGCAATTGCATTTGCACAGATGCAAAAGCATAGGAGTTAAAATGAATTGTATGCAAATTTTGATTTATTTTTGTTTTAAATTTTACTTTGTTTTGCTTGTTTGCATTGTGAATGAAGTAAAATAAAACTTAAAGCAAAGTAAAAACTCAAGCAAAAGTGAGCCAGAATTTACAATTTTCTTATTTGTACTTCCTTGAAATTGTACTAGTGCAAATCAGATTGCATTTCAAACAGATAAGCAACAAACAAGTGGGTATTTGTAATAGTTTCATTCCAGGCAGGCATGCAAACAGGCACATTGTAAATCATTTAACTGAGTTGGACTCTGACCCTTTTGTCAATTATGTAGGTTCAGATCCTGAACTCCTGAGATGGTTTGCACAGGCTGAGCTAATACACAGTAGATGGGCAATGCTTGCTGTAGCTGGTATCCTGATTCCTGAATGCCTGGAGAGACTGGGCTTTATTGAAAATTTTTCATGGTATGATGCTGGTGCTAAAGAATACTTTGCAGACCACACAACCTTGTTTGTGGTCCAAATGGTTTTGATGGGTTGGGTTGAGGGCAGAAGATGGGCTGATCTCGTTAACCCTGGTTCTGTTGATATTGAGCCCAAGTTTCCCAACAGGAAAAACCCAAAGCCTGATGTTGGGTATCCAGGTGGGTTATGGTTTGACCCCATGATGTGGGGCAGAGGGTCACCAGAGCCAGTGATGGTGCTGAGAACCAAAGAGATCAAGAATGGCCGACTTGCAATGCTGGCTTTTGTAGGGTTCTGGTTCCAAGCCATTTACACAGGAGAAGGACCCATTGAGAACTTGATGGCTCATATTGCTGATCCTGGACACTGCAACATTTTCTCGGTAATATTGTCATATAATCCTTGGCTTAATACTTGACACGTCTGATATAACTATGATATCAACTAAAATATAGAATTACACATTCAAATAATATATATTTTCTCATGCTTGCAGGCTTTCACCTCTCACTAACAATTGTGGCCTATAAGAGTTCAGCAATCTGAAGTCGAGTATGGATAGGCTTCATCTCAGTATAGTGATTTCAGAGTTCACTGTACACTTAACCAAGCCATTGGAGAAAAAGAAGTTTTTCACTATTCTTCTTTATTCATTTATTTATTACACCTCTCTCGTCTCTTATTGCTTCTCTGCCTAGGTTGCATCTACTCTTATCTCGGTTTCTCTAATCTAGATCCATCATAAAGATATACTATTCTCAAGTTATATAAGAAACAAGAGACTTATGACGAGGTATCTTCCATGGTTGTTAAAAACGAACCGGTGACTGAACCGGTCAGGGGTCTGGTTACTGGTTCGAATGGTTCGACCGTTCGACTCGAACGGCCGGCCCATTTTAATGAAAAAAATAAAAAATAAAAAATTAGAAAATGGTCCGAACGGTCAGACCATTTTGGTGAAAAAAATAAAAAATTAAAAAAAATTAAAAATTAGAAAATGGTCAAAACCGTTCAAACGGTTAACTGACCGATTCAGCAGTTTGTTGACCAAAATCAACGGTTTTTGGGGAAAAAGCAGTTTTGGAGGAAAACGAAACTGGTCAGGTGACCTGTTCCCGGTTTTTCCAGTTTGACCATCCGGTCCGGTTTGGTTTTGAAAACAGTGGTATCTTCATTGGCTTGAGTTTCTACAATGAAATTGTTTAATTTAAAAAGGAAAATTCTCAATTAGTAACCTGTATTTTGAGCCTAGTGTCACTTTGGTCCCTGAACTTTAAAATGTAATAATTCAGTATTCAAACTTTCAAAACATGACAATTCAGTACCTGCTATTAATTAACTTTTAACCAACTGTTAAGTGGCATTTGAAAAAGACACAAATGCCCGTACAGTGTCATCCAACTTTCTTTATCAACCATCCAAACATTGACAAAAAATTAACAGTCTCAAATCCCTTCCCTCTTTTATTCAAAAAAGTTGGGGTCACCAAATATCCACTCAAACATGACCCCAACTTTCTTGAATGGAAAAGGCAAAGATTTGGAGCTATTAATTTTTTATCAACGTTTGGATAGTTGATAAAGAAAATTAAATAATATTTAAACGACATTTGTGCCAGTTTCAAATGCCACTTAACAGCAAGTATTGGATTGTCACATTTTAAAAGTTTGGATACTGAATTATCACATTTTAAAATTTAGGGATCAAAATAGCACTAAACCCAAAATACAGGGTATTAATCGAAAATTTTCCCAATTTAAAATTATACCAATTTTAAAACAAAATAACTCTTATAAATTAGAGATGTCGTAAGCACCTTGGACCTCGTGAGCTCCTATGAACACAATGGGAAATTCAGAATCCCCGGGGTGATATCCTAGGTTAAGAACTTGACGGTCAAGTCAAATGGGTGAGGAGTGTAAGTTTAATAAGTATGGTGGGCAAATGAGTAAATGCATACCCTTATATAAGCAAGATGGGTCGCTTCTCGAGACTAATTCGGTTGTTTGGTCCATCATGATACGTGTTTAATATCTTAGACATTTGTTTCATGATGTCTTGACACGTTTGGCGCATATGGTTCATTGCAAGGTTCAAAAGTATTGATTGATACGTATCATTTCGGGATTCCTCTAATTTGCCCTTACAGTGGATGTATCGGAGGTCTGATTGGTTCAGGGGTAGAGGAGACCCTAAACTGACATTCCTGAACCGGGTGTAAAAAAAAAAAACCATTCTTGATTCATGTAGTCCACATGGAGCCATAATACCCCCAAGTGGTGTGTTATTAGCTGCCATTTGTCCTTAGCCTAGTGCCCTCCATGCCAGGCTGTCATGTCCTCTTTTTTTGTTGCTATTATTAACACTAACGGGACCCGTGTAATGTACATTAGGGATAATCATGGATCAGTTTGATTTGGTTCCATGGCAAAATCTAAAACCTACCTTGTAGGGGGGTCGGTTTTGGCATTGTTGGTTCCAAGGTCTATTTGTTAAATTTGTTCTTTAAAAAATTAATAACATGAACTGTCCTTTGAAAAATTAATTATTCTTTAAAGAATTAATAACCTGGACCTGGACCTGTTCTCTGAAAATTAATAACCTAGACATTTTTTAAAAAAAAAAAAACTAATAACTTGAACCTATTCTTCAAATAATCATAACTTAAACCTGTTTTTTTTTTTTTGAAAAATTTATGACCTAAATGATATTACATAATCATAGCTAAATACTAATCCATCACAAAATTTAATTAATAGTTTAATACATAATATCATAACCCATTATAGAAATTCATATGCAAAATTAAAAACTTAAAATGCCATAGTCATAACCAAGAAAAAGGAATCAATCCCACGATTCATTATCATTGACACAACACAACCACTCAAAAGCACTAGTTCATCCTTGTAATCATGATTTTTAAAAACGAACTGGTGATCGAACCAGTCAGGGGTTGGGTTATCAGTTCGAACGGTACGACCGTTCGATCCGAATGATTGGCCCATTTTAACAAAAAAATAAAAAAAATTTAAAAATTAAAAAACGGTCAAAACCATTTAAATAATTAAAAAACAGTCAAATCATATCTGTCAATTTTAGGCTTTTTGGCATGTATTTTATGTTTCAGGACACGCATCCTCCCTTTTTTTCTTTCGGACAAGTACGAATACATACGATGTAGAATTCTAAATTCCAGCCCCCCTATTACTAGCCTCTCCCCCTATAAACCTTTGGGGCTATAAAATTCTCATCTGGGCTGATCGGTCATGCTCCCTTTATTTTTTTCAATGCCGTATCTCTCATTTCTCTTTTTCCAATGCCAATCTTCCTCTGCGAGCTTCTTCGCTATCCATCTCTTCTTTCAGTATTTTGCCCACCGATTCTCGTGAAAATGAAAGCAAAGTTTCTGATCTTCATTCCTCTCCAAACCGACAAGACAGCACCAACGACGGAATCTTTAAGCTTCTTTGAGGTAAATCATAGCCGTAAAGTTTGTCTTTCTTACAAATGCATATATTATATGAGAAACATTCGTCTACTTAAGGCTTTCAGTTTTTTTTTTTTCAATTTTTTTACTTATTGGTGCCATGGTGGCCTTCAAAAGTTCCTATGTGAGTGCTTCACTCTCAGGCACAACTTTTCCCTTTGTAGGAAAAGTGGAAAACCTTTTCTATACAGTTCCCCCTGATGCAATGGAGAACTACATGAGAAAACCTTGTATAAAAAGATGTTAGCACATGTGACATGTTGCATGGTCTTATTATTGGGCTATCTCCAACTTTGTTGTAATTTTAAAGAGCTCTCTTGTATCCATTCTTTAACAAGTATGAATCATGGTTTTTAAAATCGAACTAGTCAGGGGTCCGGTTACCAACAGTTTGCTGATCAAAATTAATGGTTTTGGGGAAAAATAAAATTGATCAGATGATCGATTCCCGATTTTTTCGGTCCGACCTTTGGTCCAATCCGGTTTTGAAAACCATGGTATGAATAGATTGAGTTATTGGTCCACAAAGCACTAACAAGGTAGCATAGAATTAGTTAGTGTAAATTTCAGAAGTTTGATTTCAAAGTAAAAATCCAAGTTCAAACTGAGCTGATGATGGCGGATTTGGCCCTCCAATGGTATTGTGACACATGGCACATTGGAACAACTAGGTGACACCCGAAACCACTAAGGCAACAACTTGCCTTAGCCAAGTTGATGGTGTCCCACCTGGCGGCCTGGCCCAGGCATGAACTGGCGGCCTGGCACAGGCGCGAACTGGCGGCCTGGCCCAGGCGTCGAACTGGCAGCTTGGCCCAGGCGTGACCTGGAGGCCTAGCTTAGGTGCCGACCTGGCGGCCTGGCACAAGCACAGGCGCGAACTGGCGGCTTGGCCTAGGCGCCGACCTGGCGACCTGCGAGACGTGCTCGCCGACAAATTCGGCATGCATATCCTAACACTCCCACGATTTTTAGGATATGCACCAACCCCAATGGCATAGGGGGGGGGGCAAGTAAGCATATTCTAGCTCTCATACTTTGTGATTTTTAGCTCGCAGTCTACTATGAGAGTACTGACTTAAGCATCAGAGCGACCTCGCCAGGTTAGCCACCTCGGGTCCTCTGACATTGGTTCTCTGCAGGTCTCTAAATAACTACGAAGCTCAACAATCAATCCAGCTCGCCACCAGCCAGCTCGACACTCTGGTCAGCTCGGCACCCAATAGGCAGCTCGACACCTAATAGGCAGCTCGACGCTCTAGTCAGCTCGGCACTTAATAGGCAGCTCAGCCTTCTGGTAAGCTCGACACCTAACCTACCCAGCTCGGCCTGGTCAGCTTGGCATCCAGGTCCTCATCTAGCAAAAGTTCACTTCGGCCTCTGAGTCATTGGCCACTTGGAAGCAGATTAAATGACGAGGTACTTAGCACAAAAAATTGATACATCACCAAAAATCGATTCATCAATTGGCGTCGTCTGTGGGAAACGCTACAAAAAGCTAAGTTCTCATCTTTTGAACGACGAAGTCCTCTTCTTCTAGAAAGCTAATTTCTCACATTTTAGAAACTAAAGCTCTCACTTTCTAATTTCCATTTTTATGAATTCAAAGACTATCGAGGAAGTTTATGGCCAACAGACTAAGCAGCTCTGTCGACTTTATTTCAATTCGGATAAAACCTCATCAGTCCTCTTTGTGAGGTACCCTCTACAAGATGAGCTCTTTGTGGCTTCCGCAGGAATTGGCGGCCAACAGACTGCACGGACACCCCTTGTCGGTCGAGCCTTCTAAGGCTCCCGTGCGACTTGGTGACCTAAAGTCAGTAGTGCTGCCCCCCTTAGGTCGAGCTCCCAGTAGCTTCTTATAAGAGTGAATGACCGGCGTCACTAACGAGGATGATGCAGCGCAACCGTAACTCTAAAGTACCGCCTAAATGATTTAGCTTGAAATCTAAGAAAGCAACCAGTTTCTTAAATCCCTATAAATTTTATAATTTGATCAATTATCAATTTATATGATCACATTTTAGATATATTACCACTCCTTTGTTTCTCCTTTGCCCATGCTAGTATGGTTCCTTTCTTGGCAAGTAGATCTCTAGACTGGATGATGGCGGAAAATTGTCAAAGAAACTATTGTTGATTGTAACAAATTCTGGGAGGGAATTTGTTAAAAAGAAAAGACTTCGCTGAGAGGTAT